TGTTTTAAGCGGTCAAGAAAGTTCCAAGTGAAAAAAAGGTTAGATAGGCCTAGAAGACTTTTACCAGGATCGGTTGCTTCTTCATTTAACGTGCATATGCACTGATATGTAATGAAGAATGTGCCGGATGCGCTCATTGTGTTCTGTGAAGACTAAACTTGTTTTCTTGCTTGTTTCCGCGCGACGATTTTGATAACTCTGTCATTCACCCATGGGGCACCGACAAAAGCAAATCTGTGATTGGAGGAGTCACAGTACCGCAAACGTGGCGCGAACACCTTCCAGAAAATGGGAGCTGAATTATAATTGGCTTATCACAGGAAAGGAATGTAGTTCGGTTTTCAGCAGGCGTTAGTGGGGAGGAGCATTGCGTGACCTCTCTAAAAACGGCTGTGTAGCAGACTATCCCTGAATTAGAGTAATTAAAACTATATGTGGAGAATAAAAGGGTGCTTTCTCAGACCTCCTCGGCGGGCAAAACCTGCAGGGGCAAAATTTGTTTAGTGTATAAAATAAGCTTTTAAATTTAAAAACAAGCTCTTTGACAAAAATACCTGCCAGCATGAATATTATTTTCAATGCAAACCATGAATAATGGAACAAAAGCTTTACAATAACAAAGACAGTAGGAGAGCAGCGCCAGTGGTCCAAAGTCCGCTAAAGGTAAGCTAACTGTTAGCTAACTAAATAGGATGGCCGAGCCTCGCATGCAGCCGGTTCTCTCACGCGCTTATCACGTTGAAATGAATATTAATAACGTTGTCTTTGAGGTAATTGCTATAAACTTTCAAGATTCATTAAATATTAATACTTGTTTGCAGCAAAGCTTATTATGTAGTCTATGATACCTGTAGTAAGACCAGAATGTTCCCTGTGAACCTCTTACAAGTTGACACCATCGCTTTCTCCAGTTAGTCTGACCAAGCACTGCTTGTCCACTTTCCTTCACAGCCCAACCTTCCTTTACAACAAATCGCCCTTCCATAAGGTATTCGAATAGTAAATCGAATTGGGCCTTAGGAGCTAGAAAAGTGATTGTACGAAGATACGGGCTGGTTGAAAAATAATTCCAACTTGCTTTTTGTCGGCCATTTTGAATTTTACCCACAAATCTTATCTGCTTTGCCCCGTGAGTGGGGTGGGCAAGGGGCCCTTGGGCCGGGAATACTTAGTAGTGCGAAGCATTACAAATTGATTGCACTTTTCAACAAATCTTTCAGAAGTTTCGTTTTCAGCATTTTTCAGCGTTGGTCTGACCAAAGGTACTTTCGATTAAGTGGAGGGAATGAGCCGGGCAATTCATACTCAGATTTTTTTAGTTCGCTTGATGTAACAATGTCCTGGTGTATGCTCGTTGTGGAGATAAGATCAAAAAAGAAACAGGGGTTAGACTGTCTAGACTACTAGCAGTCCGCCTTTTCTCTTAAAATCCGTCTGGTTCTTTATATCTCAGCCAGTGCAAATGCAAACCAAGACGTTAATAATAATAATAATAATAATAATAATAATAATAATTTTTTTAAAATTTTATTTTATTTTTTTTCTTAAAAAAAAAAAGAATTGTCGTAAAATGACTATCTAAAGACTACTAATAACAATTATAAAAAGCATCAAAAAGTTAATTAAAAAAAATAAAAACTATTTAAAAATAATAATTCAAACTGATAAAAAGTTACTACTTAAATTCTGGCTTGTGCACTTTCCAATGTAATGTCAATGTCAGATATATTGGCTGCTTTTCTCTTGCTCCTGGTTCCTCTGAGACACAGCAAGGCTGATCGTAGGATGGCAAAGGATACTTTCGCCCTTATCCAAGATATGGTTGTAGCGTAATCATCTCCTTTCTTTAACGCAAGTAGCTCTGCGAGGCGGCTATGGAATCTCTTGCATTCATCGGCCATTCCACCTGTGCTTGTAAAAATAATAATAATAATAATAATAATAATAATAATAATAATAATAATAATAATAATAAAAATAATACTTTATTCAATACATATATGCACACAAACGTGATACAGTCAGGGGCGGATCCAGGATTTTGTTAGGAGGGAGTGCACTCGTCTCTTGCTCTACTTCAGAATACCAGTTGTATTCGAAAGCCGCAGGTAATCTCGGGGGGTGGGTGGGGGGGGGGGGTTCGCGCAGTCTGCGCACTCCCTGCACCCTCCCCTTAGATCCGCCCCTGTACATGATACGTATTTGAAAAGGTGGACCTCGAGGTTATCCCTATAAAAGGTCCCCTAACTGAACTTTAAAAAATATTAAACAATTATAAAAAACGCGCCTAAAATAATTCGTGCAGGTACATAATGGTGTAGTAAGAATGATGTTTAAAATGAAAATATAAAATATATACAATTAAAATATGAGCTACTGTGTCAATAAATCTTCATCCATGTTTTTAAGCCTTCATTAAAGGTATTCTCTTCGATGCTGAACTGTGTTCCAGTTTAGCAATACATACATCGTTCTTCATATGACATCTCGCGTAGTTTTTAACCGAGAGCGACTCTCGATGCTCTTCGTTGCGCTTTTTCGATTGCCAACTTATCTTTAACTAAATAGGGCGACCATACCGGGCATGCGTATTCTAGGATTGGTCTAACAAAGGACTAATAGAGCATAGAGAAAATTTCCCTGTTCTTGCTATCAACTGTACGCTTTATTAGGCCCACCACTTTGTTTGTTTTATTTACAATTGCATCCACGTGGTTCGATCAGGATAAGTTTCTTGACACATAAACACCTAGGTCCTTGCATGAGTTTAATAACTGATTTTAATTCTGTATTTGACAGGTGATAAGGATGTTTACTTTCGGTCTTGCTTATGCATAATTCTCATCACTACGCATTTCTGAGGAAAAAAATTTCGTGTTTGCGCTTTCTAAACTCAGCGGACCCAACCATCGCGTAGCCTGAAACAGGCTTACATTTTAATAGAAGAAGTAACAACATTTGGTATGTCGTTTACGTAGACTAAGAACAAGGTGGACCCGAGGATTGTTCCCTTGGGAACACCAGATGTCACTGGGGACCAATTCGAGAACGTTTCACGTATAGTGACTCTCTGTTGTCTATTTTTTAGAAAGTTTCTAAACCATAGCAACACCGTGTCGGTTGAGCTTATGCAGTAGACGCTCGTGGGGCACGCTGTCAAATACTTTTGATAGATCTAAAAAAATAACGCCAGTCGGCTTTCGAGCTAGTTACGTTACAGTAAGGGACTGGGATTACAAAGAAAAATAAGAGACTGTTTGCAGTCAAAAGAGAGGGGAACCACCATCACCATCACAACAAGAAAACTGTGCTAATGAGAGAGCTAACTGCTGACTCAATACGGAGCGAAACCGCTGGTTGTCAGCAGTAGTCCAGAGACAGACACAGACATAGACACATACCACGAGGAGCACAGGATCCCAACTCACAGAAACCGGAACTCGTTACTCTCATGAAAAAAAAAAAAAAAAAAAATCGGTCGAAAAAATACAAAAGAACCATGATATTAAAGGGAAAAATTTGAAATATTTACAAACTGCCAGAATAATTATTTTTTACATATAAAAATATAAAATACACGTATCAATTAAAAATTATTGACACATTTGTAATTTATAATGAGCATAAAAAGCATTTACAATTGTCGTCGAGGGAAAGTTTCAATTTGGATAAATGTTCAGAGGCGGGGGCATACACCCAAAGCGTGAAATGTGAGTAAAAAAAATAAAGCAATAAAACAAAAATAGAAACGTTTTCCGTTCAGGTGTTTATTTTCTTTTTGCGCGTTGAACCCTATTCACACCCTTTTTGTTATTTTGTTTGAAATTAATAACGCCTCTTGTATCTTTTTATGGCCAGAAAATTCCAACATTTGATAAACAATATCGCTATTGTCTTAGTAATTACCAGCCCCAGTCTATACGGCCGCGCTATCAATACACGGGTATCACGCACTCGGCAACTCGAGGTAAGCTGTAGCTCGGTGGGGTTTCCTAAGTTCCAAAGGCCGGCGCGACTCGACGCGAGGTTGTTCGCTCTGTCGAAGTCTTTTTGGTAAAATATCTTGGGTCTCTCAGGTAAATACAGACGACTTATGCTGATAACTTTTGTTTGGGGGCGATTTGATTCTTGTGTTTGCCAACTTAGGGCGGGTTATGAACTTCGTTTTGTTGTTTTCGACACGCTTAGGAAACATGGCGACATGGTGAATTCTGTCAGTGAATGAACGAAGTTGCTTGTTTACGGAGAGTGGTTGCGCTAGTTCCATAAGGTTTCGAAGACATACTGTACGAGAAAAATGAAAGCCAATGGTGGTTTTAACGCTTCTGGCAAAGACAGAAAACGGAAACTTTTAAATGAACATAGCGACGAGCAAGATAGGTAAGTTTAAGCGCTAATTCCGTTTTCCTCAAACTATAAATAACGTTAAGGTGTCACTTCAGTAATTTAAGTTCACACTGCTTTCTCAAGCACGCAATTATAGTATTCATTATTCAAGAAGCGTTTAAGGTCGTGCTAGACCAGTTTAAATCCAGCAAGCACTTCCTAAAGTCCTTGGAACTTTTCAATGGAACGGCTGCGCGCTATCGAACTCCTGCTATATTTCCTGCGTACGTGTATTTATAGATGTCCGCCCGAGAATATGAACTTTCCTGAATGTGAGAACTTTCTGCTAGGGCTAGTCGTCATTTCTGGCAGCTGACGAAGTTGTTCGTATTTTAGTCGGGCAAACGTTGAATGGTGGAAGTTTCTTTTGGCTGTCAAATATTTAATACGCTCTGGTGATTTGTTTTGTGTGATTGAGTAGAAATGCGCGATCTCCTTACTTTTTTAGCTGTAGCGTGCATTGTGAAGACGAACTTCACTATGTATAATTTATAGGCTAGGTAAACTATTATGCCCTTTGTTAAAGGGTGACTAACTTGTATATTGTAATCTTTCGGTGAAAAGTGTTAGCGAAAAAGGTAAAGAATTAGGTGTAAAAAAGCCAATTTACTTGCGTCTGACTGTGGGTTTGTTTTACGACTGTTATCTGTTGCACGCACGATTTGTGTCTTGCTTTCGCGTAAATGGGCATAGAAAATTAATGATAACACTAACTTCATCATTTCTGAATTTTCATTGATCTTTCCTAGCTTTTTTGAAAGGTTCCATAGGTAGTACGTGTGACCGCATTTACACTAATGTTTCCTCTAAGAATTAACACCTCCCTGGCGGCAAAATTTTGATCAATATAGATTTCAGCTGAAATGTTTTTGTCCATTTTTCCGTCTAGTTTTCGTGATGTGCTTTTTAGGATGTTCGGGTGTAAATTGGACTCTTTTCTGTCTTCTTTGTAAAATTATTTTTCTTTTGAGGATTTTAATCGTTATTCACTGCTACAATGAATAGGATTAATTTGGGGTTTGGGCGTTCGTTCATCCCCTGTCCTGTCGTTTATTTCAAGTAATTTGGTTCAGTAGAGTACATTTAGGTGATTCTGTTAGGTTTCAGTTAAGTAGAATAATATTATTTTTTGGTCTTAAAACTTATTTGGATTGTGAGATTCATAGCATGTACAAATAGTCCTCAACAAAGTAGGTGTCAGATTTAAATTTTTCCATTTAAACTGGGGAGGTGCAAAGCGTCTTAGTTTGAAAGAATAACAATGCTCATTTAGCCCTTCTAATGTCTCAAAGTTTGTAGTGCCTTGAAAGCCTCTGGGTGCATTCAACCAGACGAATAGAAAAGGTTGTTGACACATAAATAACTGATGAGTGATCATTGCACTGTACATTTAAGTAACCGAATAAGATGCTTGATTCTGAAACATGTATGATCAGTGTAGTGGAAAGCTTGTGTGTTTGAAATTTGAGCTGTTCCTTGGTCATGATGTCTTCAAATCTGGGAACAATTCCCTGATAATCTTTCTAACTATGTGGATGTATTAAGTTTCTAATTAGATTTATGCAAAGCAAGAATTCTTCTGACCAAAAATACAGCTGTGCCATGAAAAGATCCTGGAGAAAAGTGTCAGGTCTTTAAATGATTTTTTCAGTTTTTTGCATCCACTGCTTCCATTAGTGACATTCCTATTATATGCAGGATTTTCAACTTTATCAGTATTTCATGTCTCCTCCCATTTAGTGTTTAGACTATTAATGGAATAAAATCATTAGACAGAGAACCAAACAAATGGTCAGTAAGAAGATACAAAAGAGATTTATAATTTGTATAAAAGGGTGAGGGATTAGTTTTTAGGAAAAAGGGGTATTGGTGCGGCAGAAAAGTGGAACATGTGACTGAACCACATGTCCTATAGAAATTATGGATTTTACATTTGGGTCAGTAACCACAATAGTTATGTCACCATTCTAATGAAAGCTGTTCATATCTGTGGGAATTAATGCTCCTGTTATTGAAAGTTGCCGGAAATGATTTGACTCAGTTTAGACTAACTTGAGGGATAAGTTCACGTGTGTAACCAAGAGTAAGTTTGACAGTGATCCAACTGTGGGAAATTAATGCAGCAAGCAGCACTAGTAAAACATGATTTGTATTACCAACAGAAAACAACGGTAACACTTAAAAAAGGAAAAGGTCTGGTTGAAGAGAAAGAGATGTTGGACAGACCTATTGTAGATCAGAAACGACCAGGGCTGTCTTTCCAAAATGTGAATAATACCACGCCCTTGATGAAACTGTCGGCTTTATTGAAGTTGCACATAGATTTCAGCTACCATCCTTCTGACCATTGGACTGCAAGTCCTCCTAATTTCATTTTAATAATTTGCATGAAACCTGTTATCTTGATTATGTCATGATATTATCAGGAGAAATTTGCCCTTGGTCACTCTTGTGACTTAGGGGTTAAATCTTCACAGTGATCTGATTTCTGCCTTCAAGCTGGTATTACCCGAAATACCTGTTTTTATACATGGCTAATTAAAGTGATCGCTCCTAATGTGCCTGGAAAGTTCCTATTATTTATGTTGTTTTGATAATATCTATTCTTTGCCCTGTTAGTCTGTGTGGTTTATATTTTGATAACTTCATGAACTTGTTGATCTTGATATCTATTGGCTGGCCTCCCAATGGACAGGAGCAACTTGCAACACAGACTTGGATTATGGATCATTCAATTACCTCTGTGGCCTTATTTGCTTTGTCTATATTTTGACAACTTATTGAATGTGGAACAATCTTGATGGATTTGCATGTAACCCTTGCTTCAAAGGAGTGTATCTGTTACCTGATATTGATGTTTTACTCTCTTTTCCAGAATATTTTTAGTAAATGACTTGTCTGTTTTTTGACAATTTTGTATGTGACCATCTTAATTATTGTTTGCTTGGGTGAGGGAGCAAGTGCCCGTATTTCTGTAACTTACAAGTTACATTTAAGGGAATATTAATTACCGGCTCCCAAACCGTACGTTTAGTTCAATTCTTCTGCACTGTTATTTTTGGATTAGACAGGAGAGGTAATTCAGAGCATATGACCATAACAGAGTTTGAAAGGTGATAGATACTTCTTAGATACTGTGTGTAATATATCAAACATGAGAGCAGTGCAGGGGATTGTTTTTGACAAACTTCAAGGTGATTGATATTTTGATGAAAAAGTGTGTAAAAAGGTTTGATATTACTTTACTCAAACAAAGTGATTTTAAAAGGAGAAATTAAGGATGCAAATAAGGGTTTTTTTTTCACAAAACATTAATTTCCTCTGTATTTTATTATTAAAAATGAGTTTCAGAAAAAAATATCAAATAGATTATTATTTTTACTCTACTGTGATTAATTTTTATTGAGGGTGGAAAGAAGTTTGTTTATTGAAGCTGTGTATTAAGCTATTATACCAGACTGTGATTTTGGTACAAACTGCCTTAGGGTGAGTCAAATTCCCTGTTTGATCTTCGCACATTTCCTTTACAAATTAATTGAGGGAATATTTGATAAAAGATTAAAGTATTGTCTCTTTGGTGACCATTTTATTAGTATTTTTGATTGTCATAACCATTACCATATGATGGTGAATTGATATTATTCGGAGAAATTGTTGTTGGTTACTCTTGGAAATGATAGAAATAACACTTGGAAATTTTGGGCTGACATTTTCGAGTCTGACAGTGTTACAAATTTCCAAAAAGCAGTTATATATGGTTCTCTTACACAAAGAAAAATAGAATTGTGCCTTTCTTGTGTTGTTCAAATGCGATCTAAACTTGTAGATCAGTAAGGTATTTTCATAATGTTCTAGTGTAGTGTACAGCCTTGGTTTTATTTTTTTGTATTTTCCCAAAAAAGAAGCAGGAGTCAACTTCCTCATAGCCAGAGGAAATCCCCAATCCCTGGCTCTTAATGACAACCCTAATTATAATTATATAAAAACTTGGAAAATTACATGATACTAGACCTTTTTAAAATTTCTTTGATTAACTTTTTACAGGACGAAACCGCCTCAGAGCGCATCTCGCCGCCACAGAGAAAAGATAAATGCTACCTTGGAAGAACTTGGGGATCTTCTCCCTCTTCCAGAAGAAGCTAGATCAAAGTTAGATAAGCTCACAGTTTTGAAGTTATCTGTGAGCTTTTTCCAAACTCAAAATTATCTCCAGTCTGGTAAGTGTCACTGAGCTGTTAACAGTTCTGGTTTGAACATTCCGCACTGTATTTCCTTGAATAAGAGCCATCCCTTGCCTCCCTCAAATAATTGCCCCCCTTTCACCTAAATATTTAAAATAAGCTCCTCCCTTGAATAATTGCCCCCACCCATTTACCATCTTCTCTTTCTTTTCCCTGTCAAGTTAAAAATTGACAAAACAAGTTTTCATTTAATTGTTTACAACTGATCGAATAGCTACAAAAGCACAGGAACCAAATTTGGAACACTTGAATTAGCCCATGTTCATTTTATTTGATGTGATTATTTTTTTATTTAATGGGATAATTAATCAAAATATTTAGGGCACGACTTCCATTGGGCAATATTTAAAGTAATTGCTTCCCTCGAATATTCGCCCCCTTTTGGTGAAAAAAAAAATATATATATCATCCCCAATTATTATTCAAAGAAATACAGTACTATTGTCAGGGCATCTGACAGGATGCGGTGGTGCGGATCTGCATCTCCCACTATTCGGATCATTTTCCCTATAAAATTGAAAACATAAGCGCTTGATAAGTGAATGTGACTACTGCTGAAGAGCAAAATGAAAATGGTAGAATGTTGTTACATATGCCATATCTTAATATGTGGATATTTGTACAGCCCCATACATTAATTTATTATGCATCGTTCAGCACAGTTGAATGCTTTAAAATACATTGCAGCGTTTCTCAGTGATTGCTGATGCATTTACAACGTGAATGTGTGCAACTTTGTCAAACGATGAAGAATGATTTTCCAACGTTGTTCAATGCCCTTTTTTTGTGTGACGATAGAAATGATCATCACTCCAACGTGTCGTTTTTACAATGCACTGAGCACCTCCCCTTTCTCTGCAAAACATAAATTAGACATCAACTTCCTCATCGATCAAACGAGCGCCTAGTTCGGATGGCCCGAAATCAACAGCATAGTTGTTTCAGCATTTGGAAACATTATAAATAAAGCCTTTAAAAGCAATGTTGGAAAAAAAAATACTTTGAACGAAAAAAAAAAGCAGCCTTGTATTGGATTATATATTTTCACGGTTCAATACTATCATGTTATTTGCTAGTCCCAGTAAAATAAATGTCTGGCAGAAAACCGACATGCTATTCAGTTTTTTCTTGTTCGGTTGAAGAAGATTTTCCTTAGACTTTTTATCTTTCGTGACACTGCGTGTGTAAAGACTCACAATACCTAAGAGATGACTGCCATGAACATCAGAACCTTAATCGCGCCTGGAAGTTGATTAATTGTAATAACAGAAACAACATTGAAATATAATTTTTAAAGAACAAAAACTCGAAAAATATTCTGTTTCCTTTCCTTCTGTGTTGCGAATTGCTTGTCATTGCCCTAGTTGCTTTTAAAATATGAACATCCTCGGTGAAGCCTGATCCTATGAACTACTTCGTTGCCTAGCACGTGACTGAAAGTCTACTACAAAATTTCATTACACAATGTTTTCACAGGAGTTGATTTGCAGCAGAGAAATCTGTTATACAAATATCGTGGTTTTGAAGATGAGAAGTGAAGATATACTTCTTCAGCAATGATGTATTTCACTGTGTTTTAATTCAGTTACACATCAACATTTTTTTTAAACTTGAATATGCGTAACTTGTCTCACAAGCTATCAAAACAGAGCATGAGTTTCGTTTGTCGTTGATGATTATCGACTAATCTGACGATGACTATGATTATCATCGTCGCAACGAATGATTCAGAAAATTGGTTATCTTTGTATGCTGACTGGCTCCAAAGTATATTCTATTGTAACTTAGTTACTTTCAGAAAACCTTTTTGATAGCAATAGTGACTCCTGTGCATGTGCAGTAGTCACAACAATTGCCCATCACAAGCGATAATTATTGAGGACATTGCCTGCTTTGTTGACTGTTTTCGTGCGGAAACTGGAACGCCTTTTCTTGTTTTCCTTGCTTACACGTATATAAAGCATCACTTGTCCTTTATATCATGGGTAAATGCGTCATAAAAGGAAAGAATATTAAGAAGGATCCTCATTTGACTGTTAACATCACTACGAAGATAAGAGTGAGCCATGACCTGGATACCATGTATTTTAAGGAAATTGCAATCTGCACAAAACATTGTACCATATGAAAGAACAACTTTAACCGTTTGCTGTTTTAAAAACTCCTCATGCTGTTGTTTAACATATTACAGCTAGTTAAGCCTGTATTGAAGTATTTCACTTGTTATTCATAAGTGAGAGCCTCAACCAGTATTGTATAAACCAAGTATCTTGAATTGAATCGAGACGTTCTGAAAAAAAGTGTGTTCTTGTGGAGACGGTGGCTGTTTGTGAAATAAAAATCGTTTCAGAGGAGACAATTAAAATTCTACCGCATTCTAGTGTTCTTTATAAGCCACATAATTACATAAAATACCATAATTATAAACATTTTGAGATGCCCAGTGAATATAACCACTTTTATAATAAAGAATTGCAACTCTCTGCATAATATGGCCTTAAACTGACGCATAATTTTCAATTTTTTTTCCGCATCCTGTCCAATGCCCTGTATTGTTTAAGGTAAAGTCCATTCTCAGTTTAATGCAGAATTTTTTCATTTCGGAAGAATAATTAGGGTTAGGAAACAAACTAAATTCTGAATTAAACTAGGGCAACTTAGGGATGGACCATTAGAAAACTTATTGGGGGACCGGGCGATGTACAAAAAAAAATATTTGTGCAAGGGGAAATTAAATGAAAAAAAATTCATGCAGTTACCCTAAAAAATATTGATCAATGGTCTAAAAAAAATTCATACAAGGAAAATGATAAAAAAAATTCACATGTTCGAAAAATTCTCCACCACCCATAACTTTTCTAATGGTCTGTCCCTTTGAACAGATTTTACCTATAACACTGGTGTGTAATTTCATACTCTTAAGCTTGAGGCTTGAGTTTTCATAGGCTTTATAAAGAACATAAGAACTAAGTATTCTTTTATCTGCTATATAAACTTTTATTAATTGAGTTATTGAGGAATGTTTTTGTTCTTCTTTTCAACATTATAAATGAATACATTGGCTTCATTGATTTTTTGAAGTCCATAATTCAGCTGTTCATGTAAAAAGATATGAAATATTATATACTACAGGTCATATATATATATAAATATATATTTAGTTTTCCCTGGTGCACACAGTGATCATAAAATCATTCAATTGATTTATCAATTAATCAGTCAAGAATACATTAAATCTAAAACGTTGGAGTAAAGAATATGTCCTTGAAAAATGATTATTTACTTTCTGCAGCAACAAGGCTCTGGATGGAGATTAAGAGATGAAAAAAATCAAACAAAACAAACAAAAAAGTAGTCTTTTCTAGACAAAAATACTCATAGTTTTACAAAGTTGAATAATAGAACAGTCTACCAGTTAGTCAAATTTGTCTTAATGGAAATGCAATGAAACTTGGGCGGTTATATAAACACTGCTATGAATTTCATAATCCTTTTGAAGCTTGTATTTACTCAGATTTGTTGAATTTTGCAGCTGTGTCAATTAAGAGGAAGCTTCTTCTGCAAAAAGCAAACAATTATTTCAAAATGCAAAGAAACGTTTTCTATCTTAATTGGTGCCATCTGCATAAGTTCTTTTAGTAGGAATTTGGGAAGGGGTATGGTCAGGACCTAAGTTACCATAATTTAGGCACACGCTTGTGTAGTTCTTCTGAGATTTAAGCCTTAATTTACCAGCCATAAAAGCCAAATATATCTGAAGTAAACATTCAGCATTTGATAAGGGAATCTCTACTGTACAACAAAAAGAGAGCTATGAAAAGAAATAAAATTATGCACCACTTAGAATACTACAAATTTTATGTTTAGCAGCAAGGCTGTGCTCTTAGGAAAATTGAAGGGAGCCCAGTGCTCTGAACCTGTAAACTCCAGGGTGCCCAGCATATGATTTGTACGAAAAATCTGAGATTTTCTAGTCGCCCAAGAGCAAAAGTTTGGCGCCAGGGGCCAACGGGCTCTGCTAGAGCCCAGCCCTGACTAGGAAGACAAGTTATTAACTTGATTCACCGTCAACAACCCAAGATTTAGTAATAACAGTCCAGACCTAGTCTTTGTAAAAGTATATCTAGTTATTTTTTTTTCTGTGTGAATAGGGAAAAGGAGGAAAAGGCGTGTGGATGATGCTGCTGTGGCTCAGATGACCAAGAAACTTGCAGCCTGTCACATCAATGTCAGTGATATTTCCCTAGAGGTAAGAAATCTACTTTTTTTATATATAACTAACCTTTTTGCCTTTCCTTTACTTTTTGTGTGAAAATAAATTCACAGAGGTTGTATTAGCTGGAGTTCATTTCAGTAAAATGTTTGCAATTTATTTTTGCGAGGGATTTTGCCGCTGTCCGTATTATCGGGGTGTCCGTTATAGTGGGGTGTCCGCAAGGCAAGAGTTGACTGTATTTGTCAGTAGAAAGTTTCCTAGAAGGGTACTTTTTCTGTCAAAAATGGGATATAGAAAGGTAAGTGGTTGGAACTTGGGTGGAGCCTCCTTCCCCCCAGGTCCAAGTGTAGTGGGACAGTTCATGATGTATGAGATGAGGTAGAAAATGCTTGTAAAAACCACTCCTTCGTCAACATGTGTGTAGCAGAAGTCTGGTTTGTCTTGTTGAAAATAGACTAGTATGTTCAGCATTTCTCAGTCCTTCTAGATGGAAGTCCTTGACCTCACTTGTATAATTATATCCAACTGACTGGCCTCCCTTCAGTTGGTGTTCTTAACTCCATTAGGTTCATTAAATGTATCAATTTCAGGATTTGCTTGATATGCCATGAATATTGCCAAGGGTAATAAAGGAAACTTATTTTTAACCCTGTAACAATGGATAACTGAAAAGAACACGTGGCAAATTCTTATTGATTTTAAATTTTAGCCAGAACACAATTTTTGAACATTCTTGGTACAGCTTTTCTGAGAGCTACGTGATGTTCAAGAAATCAGTATTCATGTCACGTTCATCATTTCATTTTGTTGCCCTGTATCACAAAACCATTGAAGTGAGGAAATGTTTCAAAACAGTTTTAAGTTGTGTAGTGTATCAACTGGCATTATTCTTGGAGACAGTATAAATCAGCAGTTCCTAACAAAAGTGTTAATTACCATTTCCTGAAAAAATTAGATTTAAATGGAGTTTAAGAAAGTTGCTGATCGTCGGTTAATTAACACAGAGATAGGAGATAATCTTTCAGCCATGAAGTATGTCAAGCTGTTAAGTTGAATTGTTCTGATAATTAAATTAGTGATTATTTGCATATCAAAAAGCAGGACGGAAGGGTTCCAAAATTGAAGTTTAGAGTCAAGTAAACATTTATCAAGAGGGATTTAATTGCTGATTCATCCATCCATAAAAGATAGTTATTGTTCTTCTTTGTTGTAGTGCTCAGGTTGCTTAATATCACAAGTAATACTACTTCTAAGTTTCTGGGTGTTCACATTTCAAGAAGGTTACCTAGGTCAAGAGCTAGATACAAGTGGATGACATGTTTTAAATACAAATTCATGATATACAGCAGTAACTAATAATGTCATTTTGAAATGTTCATTGGCATTCTTAGTTAATGTTCAGTGCCTGTGTTAAAGAGGAATTGTGGTGGGTTTTTATTGCCCCAAATGTAGTGTTTACATGTAGCTTTCAGGAGAGATTGTATTTCAAGCCAATATTTGTTTGGCTTAATTATCTCAGATGTTTACTGTCAGCATACCTGAAGATCGGAAACAACTAGTGAAATCGTTATTTAAAGAACTTGTTTGTTTTGGGAGTGCTTGTAGAAATATGTGGCAGGGTTTAAGATAAAAGGGGCATTAAAATGGGTGGTACCTTTGGTTATTTTTGGCAAACAGATATCTCTACATACAAAGCTGTATTAATTAATCCTAACCCTTAGGGAATTGCTACGTGCCTGTCAATATGAATTGAATGAGTTTGTTTTTGATTTCTCATTTTGTTTTTAATACCAATATTTCTTCAATGAATTCTATACAAGTGAAATAAATTTATTGATTCTGGTATTTATCATGTGTCTAGCATTTAATGGGGTTCTATGTACAGTTTCAGTTCTAGTTTTGATGTAATGTTATTTTTTTTGTTATTGGTACAAATTGCAGTTCAAATTTACTGCCCATATTGTAGAAGTCAGAAATGAAGCATTTACAAACAAGCAAGTATATTTACAGCCTTCAAAAATACAGAGAAATAATAAAAATGCTACTCAGCTTTGGAAAGAAAAAAGGTTGTGTCATAGAGTGAAAAAAAAAATCGTAGTTGCGGTCAATCATGCATGCTTTTCTTTTATTTAGGGCTGTATAAAACTATGATGTGGTAAAAGATCACATTGTCATGATCATTTTAGAAATTTTAATTTTTTATAAAAAAAATGTCCTCTGAGAATTTCAGATGATTGGTGTGGTTTTATGTCACTTTTTCTTTACAATTAAGAGTTCTCATTAACAAATAAATGCTTTCCTTTTGTTCTTTCTACCGGAGAGTGGTGGTGATGTAACAAAGTAAGATAAATTGCATTTCTTTTGCAAACATTTCACAAAACAAAGGAATCTGTTGGGTTCAAACAACCTTTCACAACCTTGTGAGTAACTCAAATTTTGTGATTAACAGGCCTTGGATTCCTTTTTCTTGGTGCTCTCAGATAGTGGGGATGTTTTCTATACATCAGAGAATGTCTTTAAGTACCTGGGATACACACAGGTAATTGAATTTTGTATTTTACTGCCTTCCATCCAAGCATATTTCATTGTCCATCGAGTGGATTTTATTATTCTTTAATGGTCAACTCTATCTTATTGCTCGGGAAATCAGATAATATATGTTGCTTGTAACCAATCTGTGAGGGGCTCCAAAGGCTCTTTTGTTTTTCGACCAGTCAGACAACAGTCCAGATTCTCGACCACAGGCAGATGACGTGTAAGGTAAATGTATCAGGTGCCCTTTTTCCCCCACCTCCAAAGCAAAAAGGGAAGAAGGACAGGCTGATCACAGTTTGTATTAACCCTTTAGACCCTAAGATCAACATTTAAATTCTCTTTTGTTGCCCCTATTAATTTCCTACAGAAGTAGTGGGGAGAAGTTGATAAAATATCAAGCAAATTCATCTTGTGTGATCATGTCCGTAATTCTCATGACCACTCTGTTTGACAAATCATTGATATTACAAGGAGAAATTTGATGCTGATCACTCTTAGGGCTTAAAGGGTTAAAAGCAGGAGTGTTGTTTTATTATGTTTGAAGGATAAAATATTTATTGACCTGTATTTTTTTTGTAGACATTTTTGATGCACCAAAACTTTCTCAACTTTGTGCATCGTGAAGATGTTAGAGGATTTGAAAGGTGTCTTCACCGAGCTTCAAAAGCAGTAAGTCACTGAATGTCTGTCAAAACTGTTGCATCTGATACTGACTTTGTGTTATATTTAACTCGAGCCTTACGTGATTATGTTGGTTTCAAATTCTACAAATTATTTATTTGCCTATGTTACATGAACATGTGAACTGAAAAAAATTAATAGTAAGAGAGTAAGTCTCAGAAGATAACTCGATTGATTGTTATTTGAAAAATAAGTGAAATCTCCCTCACCTGCTTTTTTAGAGGATTGTAGAGTTAGAAGATGGCTATGGTTTGGACTGTGAACAATTTGAAGGTATCTGCTATTTTCAGTAATAATTATTCACTGATATCAATACTGTTGTTTTTATTAAATAATTCCTTCTTTAAATAAGTATCTTTTGCTTTAAGGTACTGCAGTTCTGAGGAATAGTAATAACACAAATGAAATCAGTATTCGTATAGACCTATATTCATCATGGATGCTTTGCTTGCCAGGGAGAATTGCTCACTTTATGAAAATTCCGAAAAGTTTGCATGACTGCCAAGACCATTTATATCATCTTGTGTTGTTGTGTTGAGTGGCTGAAATCTTTCTTTGGAACCTTGTGTGGGCATAAATTTATTATATTATTGCTGGTAGTCAGGGTTCTCTTTTTAAAAGCCAACAACCTGCTAAAAAACCAGCTACTTTGAGGTGTGAGCCGTTGACTTTTTAGGGAAAATGGGTATAAAGTGAGTGAGTGAAAGCCTCAAATTGCCTACAACACTCGATTGCCAAGCCGCCTACTTTACATCCTACCTGTCTACTTTAAAACTTAATGAGAACCCTGGGAAGTGCATATTTTTAACCCTTAAAGTAGCACATAACCACGTGGCACTTATGATAGTGCTCCCCAGGCAAGACAGAGACTCCTTCCGTGATCGTTTCAGGAGTCTAATCATTAAGTTTCCTTAAGAAGGCAATAGAGTACTGACTTTTTTCTTTGTTATGCAGAGCAACCAATTCCCCAGGTTTGCTTTGCCAGTATCAGGTGCCATGCTGGAAGACAGTCCAGTCATGTCAGTCCCTTCTACTACAGGGTAGGTTTTGTTACTTTAATTATTTCAGTATCCATTCATGTAGGCTTAGGTTGTCTGGTGTGCACAAGTATCCACCTCTCAGATTATTTCAGTGGAAAGCTGTCAGTGGTCTACAAGCAGCAATTAAGGCATTTGTGTGTCTGCGAGTTGAAGGAGAGAGGAAATACCCGCAGTTGTTTTTTGAAAAATTATTTGAACCAGGTGAATTGGATTACCGAAAGGGTTTTTCTTTTGGTCTGGCGAAGACATGGTAGAAACAACAAATTCCAAACTCAGAGCAAAAAAGTTTAGTAACAATTCGGATAAAAAATTAGTTAAATTGGATTTACACAGGCGATTGCAATTTTCCAGGAATTACTCATTTCCCCTATGTTTACTTCTTGTGCTTTTTTCCTTATTTCCCTTCTCTGCTTGTTTTTTTTTTTTATTCATCACTCTTTGACACATGTATGCATGCTTGTATCGGTGGACTGGTAGCCACACCCCTGGCCTCAGTTGTTTAAAAGGTGAATAACACTATGCACCAGTTAAATCCTTATTCAGTGGATGAGGCAATTGGTTTTCCTAATACTTATCTGCTGGATAGTGACGTATGCAGCAGATTGTTCTATCCATGGTTTGAACTTCCAGGGCCTAGTAATGTGTCTATGATGATGATGCTGACTGTGTCACTCAATTTTGTTGTTGCTTTGCAGTCATTTAAATTTGCTGGAAAGCTCAAACCATTGTTAAGTGGCAAAATGAAACGGTATGGTTTCTTTGCACTCTGCACTGCTGTCAACCCCGCCAATCCATTTACCAGCACTCCTAAGGAACTATTACAGGTGTACAGCTGCAAGCTTGGTATGGACCTGAGACTCAAAAAGCTAGACAACAGGTAACCTCCAGCCACTAACTCTCTAAGCCTCTAATAGCACGTGAAAGGAAAGTTAAGGAAATCTCCCCTGCAATGAAGGGTTCCTGCAGAGGTTAAATGCTTACTTTCCAACTTCTGAAACTCTAGTGCTCTTGAAGTGTTTTAAACTACGTACAAAACAATTTGTGAGTAACAAGTTTATATATATATGTAAATATACTTTTTTCAATACAAATGTTCATGAATTGCATTTGCCCATACTGATGACATACACAATGCATTTAACTTAGTATTCATGAATAGTTAGGGCTAGGAGACAAAGGAAATTGAGGATCAACCTAAGTCAAAAAAATTTACCTTGAATTTAATTTTGACTTGTAACAAATATATGAATTTCATATATCAGAATTGCAGAATGAAGAAATAAATGCAGAGAAGATCATTGCAGTTAAACGCACAACTTGTGCAGATGCAAAACGAAAGCCTGTAAAAATCCAAACTTATCGAGATTCGAAACCCAGACTTCTGTGATACCGCAGGTCATGCACATTTGTTATGGAAATATAATGTACTAGTTCTCACCAATCAAGGCACAGACATTTCTTTGAGCCTTTTCTAAATGTTGTTTACTCCTTTGTGTTACCAGAGGGCAGAAGTGTTTGTACATGAATGAGAAGGACAACTTGAGTCGCACAGGCTATTTTTTCGTGCATCCTGATGATGTGCAATGTATGATGCTTGGGCATCAACGAGGTAAATACACTACTTGGTGACTGGTCACCTCACAACCGGTCAAAGTTGACTCGTTACCAACCAAATCGCCTCCAACAAAACAACTCTGAAATAACTTACTAAGGTAAAGCTGATAAAAAGTAAATCGAGGTGGTGAAGTGACAGTAAATCCTGGCACTCTTTTTTTCAATATTTTTTATTAGAATTTGTCTTGTAAGACTATTGAGGCAGAAATTTGCATGTTTTCAAGAATGTTTTGAGAACACCCTGTTAGACGTATGTGCTAAGATGTAAATGTCATACACTTTATCCGAGACCATTGACGAAAATATTTTCAGCATAAAATCGGAAGCCTGGGCTGGAAAACTAATATTGTTATAAATTTGTTTCAGCCGCTTTTTCATGGCACATTTCCAACATGCCTTATCTTGAGTAATCTGCCCTTTCACTATAATTTCTTGTAAACACCTAGCCTAGGGAAGATCATCTACAACAGTTTAGTATGGTCTCTGATTTTGTAGCACTAACCTCCTAGTACGCATGGCTGGTACTCTTTAACATTTCTGAATCCCATTGCTCAGACTGATTACCATCACTGTCGCAATTTGGCCGAGGGAGGTTGTCTCTTGTTGCAATTTCATTTTACACGCTGTCGCTACTTTTTGGGCCATGTTGCTTGTCGGAATTTACCCTGGCAGGGCCTCTATTACGGACAGTTTGCTTTGTCCCTGGGAAAAGAAAGCTCTCTCTCACATTTTCTCTAAATTCAACCCGTTTAATACGGACACTTTCTGTGGCCCTCTAGGTGTTCATATTAATGGGGTTTGACTGTATTTTAGTTTTTTTCAAAGTTTTTAGTCAAGTGTGCTAGGTAGATTTTTATACTTATATTAGAATGTAACTGTACCTAAAGGAATTACTGCATTTAAATAAAGTTACCTTATCTTACTTTGCAGTTTGCCATTATTCTATGAAACTTTAATCGGTCATATTTTACCTTCTTTGTGCCTTTTTTTTCTTCTAACCAGTTACTGCTGAGGGGCATTGTGACACAGTATTTCGACTCATGAATGGCCGTGGTGCTTGGCAGTGGGTCAGAGGAAAGGCTAGAATCGTGTATGACAAAAACGACAAGCCTGAATTCCTTGCTACTGATAATGTCCTGTTAAAGTAAGTTGAGTTTGTTTACTTGGAGGTGCTACTTTTCCTGCCAGCTATATCGGTGTTGTCATTGTTAATTCAACTTTTGCCCATGATATTTGATAATCCCTTGTTGAGTTCCTCCACCCTGACTCACTAATCAGTGACAGTGGTTTGCCAATCATCGAAACAAAATTGTGTTGTCTTTTCAGTGGTCTCATAATTAACAAAGAAAGAGAATTTGAAAGCACAGAAAAAATTCTGAACTCAGTGGTCCACAGTCAAAAAACTTCAAAACTTTGTATTACATGCACTGTGACTTGCACAAAGATGAATAAAAATGAATTCTTATAAAGAGATTTTTCCATTATAATCATAACTATAACAAAATTCTCACATCTGATTGACTGTCAACTGTCCTGATTTCAGCACTAATAGGACAGTGTAATAGGGCAGTACGCATCATGCCTAAGTAATATACACCAGCACACATGCACCTGAATGGGTTCTTCTTTTTTCACTGCTAGCAAAAACTCTTGGGATATTTTTTTTGTTTTCATTTTTAATTAGCTTAATTCATGACAAATTTTGTTATAGTTATGACTAATTGGTAAAAGAACTTCGTGTCATCTACTTTGGTCTTTAACCATCCTCGTGATTAAACAAATCAGACTCCAGCTACAGGTCATCCGATTTTGTTAATCATAAGTATTATTGCACCGAGTTGGACTCCACTCAGTCCTGTTACCATTATTAATCGATTATGGATTGGATGGGTCCATCCTATTATTTCCGATGATCGATTATGAAATCTCAGCTGTTTCCCAACCCTCGTGACAACAATGATCATCACAAAGCAAGTCGACCAATCACTACCAATCTTTAGTGGAGGGGAGGGAGCGGGGGGCGGGGGGGAGGAGACTCTCGTGTTTGTGCTGCTGTAAAGGGCGTTGTTTTCTAAGCTGTATAGTCTTGGATAGGGTATGGAAATCAAAGGTGACTGGCCTAGGTCCCTTGCCGAGGTTGCAAAGAAAGTCAGTTCTACAGCCTGCCATTCGGGCAAGCTTTAGCTAGCATGTACTAGCCCACAAGTCATTTCAACTAACCCCAAAACCTTTTTTGATTAGCAGGATTGATTACAATCCTTCTGTAATTTGAATTTCCCCAAAGAACAGCACTTGCCCGTCGGGCAAGTGAAGAACAAAAATCACTAGCCCGATAGCAAAATCCACTAACCCCGGGCTATCAGACACGACTTTCTTTGTACGCTCCTCACCTATCTCTCTGACTGTTACTTTTCAACAACAGCCACTCACTACTCTTGCTCCAAAAATGGCCGATTTGGAAAGGCTGGGCTGTACAGTAGTTAATTGTATTCAATGCAATGGAATTTTTAAATGCACTGACAGACCATTCATTTTTTCATTTATTTTTCAGTGATGAGCAAGGCCCCTTCTTTCAATCAGTTGTACTTGAAATCTTGCGTGAATGGCAATCTAATCAAAAGGGCTTACCATCACCAAAGAGCGATGAGGAGAAATCCAGCCAGACTAGCAGTCCAGATTCTGCACTTCCGCCGTTATTAGCCACAAATGATGGCACCAGTATCACTACCCAAGGTTTGTTGCCTAAGAAAAGGATTGACTCTCTGGGGTGGGGTACTCCCCCAATGGACTATAAAGGCAATAGAAATCGTTTTCCGTGTTTGCATAGCCTGATATAAACACGTCTCGGGTTTGTATAACTGTCGAGAATTCTCCCAACCCGTCTAGTGTTTTTATTAGGTTATGCAAATACAGGGAAGATGTTTTCTATTGCTTTTGTAAATTAACTTTCCCAAGAAAAAACGCAAAACTCTTTGTCATGGCACTGATTAAAAGAGAAATTCTTACCAGTCGCGAAGTCTTGTACACAAAGTCTTGCTCGCGTAATCAGTTCTTGTTTTGCCAAAAAGATGCTTTCCAAAATACGGATTTTTCTTTGGATCTGACTCGATGATTTCCGTAGAGGTTACCGAAGCGTGAGCCAATGTCCACAACAGTCCAACCAAAGCCAAACAGTACACTCAGCCAGAACGATTTAAATAAAAAAAAAAAATAAAATGTCTTTATTGTTCAAGAGATAAAATTACATATCTTATGTTACATTTAAATATAACAATGTTAATGGGCTAAAGTATGTCTCTAAATAAGATGGGTATATACATAGAAAGAAATACAAAAATCGAATACAGAAAGTACACTATTTACAAAGCTACATTATACTTGAAGACAATTCTATTAAAGAATGTATTCTTAAAGCGGTCCGTGTGAATGGCGGGCATTGCGGGAGATTTATTCCTTAAGTTGTATCTTGTAATAATAGTCTCAGGGAAGTTAGCTTAAGAGGGTGGTTCGGGATACTAGAAACCTTCGTACAAATTCTATGATCTAGCATGCCAGTAAGCTGTCGGGGACAGCGGTGGGGAACAAAACGAACCCCGGTTCCCTTCAGCCGACAGCTTGTTCGCGCGCTAGGACGATCATATTTCACCTTCTTATAGGATTTTTTTTCTTTCTTTCCAATCATTTTTGAGTGAAGGGGTCGGCTTTACACAGGCTTCACCTGGGTTCAAACCATTTGTAATGTTTCATCTAAACTGTCACAAAATGTTTCTGCAGGCTTTGCTGGCTCTTCTGAGGATGTGGCGTTGCGAGAGTCGAAAGACATCGAGATTATTGAATACAGCAGTCCACCCGTGTCCACAGCAGAGAAGAAAGAACTCTTGTCGCCGTCACTTGTTCACACACCAGGCACATCAGAGTCGTGTATGTTTAGCTCAGCGAATCAGTCCAGATCACCGGTGGAGGAGAAACCCAACATTTTATCCCGTGAAGGAATGGTGTTCAACTCAAAACCAGAGCGCAGGAATGGGAGTACACCTCATGTCCACCCAAAATCAAAGCACAGTGCACACGATCAAATCAATCTTATCAAACAATTCTTAATGGGCGTGAATAGTCAGCCTCCTGCAAGGGCTTGTCACTTGGAAACCATTACTCGGGTAGACGGTGGTGTGATTCCAGATAGCCCGCCCCCGCCCGCATGGAGTGATTATCCTGGAGACCCCTCATCGGTCCTTCCTGAGTTAAACTTCCAACAAAATGATGGTTTGTCGGCTCCATACCCGCCCTTTCCACCGCAGAACGGAGTAAATTCGTCTCTTTTCACCAATGGATATGATCACACACCCGGGAGGTTACCAGTCCAGCCAAATGGCTCTTCGTGTGGCGGCGGCACTCAGTACATGGACTCAACCAATCTCATATACCCTTCTATACCGAATATCAGAGACCCAACTGTCAACCCGTCCATGTCAAACCCTTCTGTGAATGGGGTAGACGAACTAGATGCTTTTAATCTTCATGTAGACGCAGGTATCGGAGACCTTCATGATATACTACAAGACGGACCTGGCAACCTTTCACACTACTTGCAGCAAGAAGGCACTGTGTTTCATTCTTTAAAGCAACGACTAAATCACGGCCAAAACGGGTTACATCATCCCCAAAATGAAGTTCTCTTCCCTCCCGTCAACCAGTCATTTCCGGCAAGTTACCCTGCCTGTGATTTTTTGTCCAATTCGAGTGCCACAGGAACACCAAACCAAGACCCAAAATTGTGGTTTGGAGCATCCGGTACTGTTCCCCTAAACCACGGCCCGCCGCAAGTTCCTCAGGTCGTAGAGGCTTTCAATGTGGATGATTTAACTCCAAGCTTGTTTGAGGATCCCAACATTCCATTTGCAAATCAGGGAAACGTACCTGTGTGTCAACCATCTGAATCCATGTATTCCTCCGATGTCAGTCGTACTAACGGCATGCATATGAGTCCCCGTATGGCGCAAAAATTCCAAACACCTCAAAACGTGCAACAGAGACAAAGTGATAGTAGAAATCAGAGTTTTAATCCTGGTGGCAACAACAGCATTCTGAAAATGATGTTGACAATGTGATTAGTAAGTCTGTGCAAATAGGTGAGACAAGACAATGGTTTCTCGATAGTGTTTGCATGCCTTGATTACCATAATAGCTTGGAGGATCCCATGGTGTGGTGCAACTACACCAGTCCTTTACTTGTCTTAGACTGAGATGGCTATATTGTAGTGGAAGATGACTGACGGTGTTCGGTGTCAAATGTTCTGCACTTTTCGTCAGTTGTCAGTACAACAAACGTAGTAAGGCTTGGTCGGAAAGAGTTAACATCTAGACGTTTTACTTGCCAGTGTTCTGTTGGCGAATTCAGTGAGCTCGGAGGAGGGATTGCCAAGCAGTCACTTCAGCTGTCCATCAGCATTGAACCCTCAGTAGTCGTGGGTTCACAGCGTCAAGTTCGTCAGATCCACATCTCGCCTTGTACGAGGTGCTGGAATGGAAGCGGAGTTTCCTGAGATGATGTCTCTTGCAAGGTTAAATGGTTAAAAAACTTAGTTTGAAGTACAGTGTTGTCTCAAGCCTCATTCACAACAAAACAAAACATTCTAATTAAACCAGGATCCACGTAAGCGTTGACTTGTGCTTTCATTAGTAATAGTGCTTAAGCTTTGGTGAGAATAAGGCATAAATATTATAAAAAATAGTGTATACAGATAAGACAGATGTGAAAATATGGACAGAGTTTTTTAGTGGACAACATATAATTATAACGTGCTTAAGTCATGCTTCACTGTTTGTAAAGGTTAGTTAGCTTGGAGAAACTTTAGCGATATAGGTGGGGAATTCTTCAACCTGTTCCCAGGGTCTTCTCTTCCTCACTCGAGGAAGGAAGAAAGAGGGCCCTGGGAACAAAGTCATGATGTTTGAAACCGAAACAAGCAACGGTACCTCGTTTTTATTTTCTTGGTCGTCCGTAATCCTTTTCTCCTCAAAGGTGCCACCCATCTTAAATCAAGGAAAAGTCTAAATTTCACTTCATAAAATTGCACCATTCAAATTACACCACGTGAAAGTGTGCTGAGGAGGGATTCATGTGAGTAGTCATACCATAGAGTTTTGTCTTCATCCGTGAAGGTTTCATCCATGTTGTTTGTCTCCGTAATCTGATGACTTTGGTGTAGAAAGGGTTATGGCAGTTTTTGTCGTCTGCATTATTAATGTTTCTGAAAACTAAATCAAAGTATCTTTCTGCATACGTGTCTTTTAGAGAAGAATATCTATTGGATTCTCGTGAAGGGAGAAGGAAATATTATCTGCGTGATGCGAATTTCTCAAGACGCTAGAAAAAGACGTTTTAAGTTTAGTTGTAGCTGAAATGGTGCTGATCGTGTCTCAAATGTAATCTATCGTGTTCTTGACTAGATCTTGATTATAAATGCTTATTGTAACTAATATATCCCATATTATAATAATTATGTACATAAAGTGGCTAATAAATTTTACAAGCATCATAGTAGCTATTAGTTCAGTCAATCTGCTAATCCTTTCAAGTCAGTTATACACATACAAATTGCCTAGATTTACCTCCAAACTTGAACTTTTTCTAATTGTTTCTCATAGCCTTCTCTC